TTGTTCTCAAATGGGATGTTCATGGAGCGAAAGAGCACAAACACAATAGTGACAGAAGGAGAAGAAGAAGAAGGAGAGATGGCTGTGGTTTATTAGTCTGAACGAATGAGGCTGCAGAGTGCTGAGTGGGGGAAAGCGTGGAGCTATAATTCAAAAAGGAGAACGATTTGGCAGTTGTTTAAGCGCTGGTGTTTCTGTTTTAATGTTGGCTGTGGAACGTTTCGCGTAGAGAATCCGCCGCTTCCTTGTCTCCATGGAGATGTTGTTGCTTAGAGTAGAAGGTTCGGAATTGAACATTTTCGTGGATCGGATATCGGCTTCTAAGATCTCATTTTGGTCGATAAGCGGATGTAATGAGACAATTTACTGGTCAATGTTGGCTCAAAATATAATATTAAATGTGTATTTTTCAAAGCTGTTGTGTAGTTTCAGAACACATTTGGATAATTTTTTTTTTAACATTATGCTGTTTGTATTTAAAGGAAATAAATGCAATTTTCTGTCTCTACCATGGTATCGGTCAGGCAGATACTTAAAGCCAAAATATTGACATCAGTATTGGAACAGAAAAAGCTTGGTCGGTGCATCCCTAGTTATAATGTTGTTACCTCCTCAGAAACATACCTGGAGTTGTTTTGTTTCAATCACACATGTCTGAGTACCGTATTTTTCAGACTATAAGGCACACCAGATTATAAGGCACATTAAACAAAACAAACAGATGATACTTGAGACTGATCTCCACCATCCATTTGCAGATTGTGCGTAATTCGCCCGGCCTTGCCTCCCTGTCTTGGTGAATGTGTATTATGAATGTGAATGTGGGTGGATAATTTAAGTTTGGGTTTTTATTTCCTACGAGAAGGACTCAAATATACATTGAGTAATAATGCAACTTTATGCACATTTGTTTACCTTTTACAGAAACGAAACTTAAAACCACCAATTAAAACAGCTCGCTCCTTGTGCGCTGATGTGCTCGGCTTCTGTTGGACTAAAGGACATGACTCACTTACTCCACGAGGCTCCTGACTCCAGTACCCGTAATGATCCAACAATACATCGAGCGGTGCGGCTTCGTAGCTTAACAGAGTCATATGAAAAACATTTTGTCAGATTTTCGAGCACCTTGTACCACATAAAATCGGTTCAAGGTCAGTCAGCACAACCAGAATTAATACATAAGGCGCACTGTAGATTTTTTGAGAAAATTAAAGGATTTTAAGTGCACCTTATCATCCAAAAAATATGGTAATCCTGTATTAGTCTGTCTACATCTCCAAAGCTCAAAATGCTCTTTCCAACTTTTTGATGTCATGACGCTGTACTTTTCAATCTACCTTTTACCTTTTGTTCAGTAGAGATTGAAATTTCCTTGACTGAAACGATCCAAATGATTCTAGCGAAGGTGTATGGAGTTTAAAAACACAGTGGAGCACTTCCAGTATTACCACATGACATCACAAGGGAGAACATTTTTCAGTTTGAGAGAAGAACTCAGCGTAAATATGCAGGATTTGTGCGTTAAACTTGTATGAATGAGACAAAACACAACTCCAGGTCTGTCTGTGATGAGAAAACAACATTATAGCATATGTCTCTGTTGCACAAGCAGTTCATTTAGCATTAGTTTAAGCGCAGTGGTACCAAATGCACACTGTGTAACTTTTCTGATGGAGGATGCGCCCCCTGCCTATCTCCATGGGGATGCTATTACTTTGTCTAGAATGTACCGGAAAATGCTGAATGCAATGGGGAAATATGGTCTTATTATACAAAAAGGAGAAGATTTAGCAATGGTTTAAGGGCTTGTGTTTTTGACTTAATGCACACCGTGTAACTTTCTGATAGAGGATCTGCCCCCTGCTTGTCTCCATGGAGATATTATTGCTTTGCCTGGAATGTTCCACAGAGTGCTGAATGGGGAAAATGGTGCTATAATTCAGAAAGGAAATAAAGATTTGGCAGTGGTTTGAGCCCACTGGTTTCAGTGGTGTTCTGGATTTCATGGTGCAACGTGTAACTTAGCTGATGGAGGATCTGCCACCTGCCCGTCTCCGTGGAGATGTTATTGCTTTGCCTAGAATGTTCCACAGTATGGCATTAAACTTATCTATCTTTGTTTCATTAGCAGCTGCTGCTATCAGTAAAGTTACAGGTCAGGTCTGTGGAGAGGCAAGCCCGGTCCCAGTAAGAATGCATTTTCCATTTCTTTTTCTTCAATAAAGACACCTGTGATAGAATAAGTGCAAGATAGATTTTTTTTTTTTTTTTTTTGGATGAATTTAATTCAAAATAAATGTTTTTAGTTTTATGTAATGTACCTTTTATGTACCTTATAGCTAAAACATAGAGTAAAATACAAGCATTTTTTGTTTGTTTGTTTGTTAGTTATTGGACTAAAATGAATGTGGGCTTGCATCTCCACAAACCTGACTCTCATTTGGCCTAGATGACAGCCTCTTCCTGCTTGTTTCCATGGAAATATTGTTGCTTTGGCTATAATCTTCCACAGTATGACATAAAACACATCTATGTTCATGATAAATATTCTGAAGAGTGGTTTTTAATAACATGTGAATTTTGAAATGAATTTTGGTCCATAAGCTAACTCAAAACAAAAAGCAGTTCTTTCAGTATTTTCCCTTTTGTTTACTAAAATCTTGTTAAACCTTTGTCTTTTTTCCCCCATTTCTAATCAAGCACGACCTCTCTAATCTCTCCTGATAAAACCTGATCTTGGGTAAACAAACATGGCGGACAGCAGCTGTATAACTAGTACTGAGCTAATACAAAACTGTGCCTCCATCTGCTTTGGGTTAGACGCCCAAACTCATGTGACAATACCAGCTGTTTGTTCAATCTCTTCCCAATTATCAAAGATTAATGAGATTTTGATCATTCTGAAAAAAAGTCAGTATTGATATAAATGAGGTCAATACAAAGCGTGGGATTCTCGGTCATTTCGGGACTTTTACAATGTACTTGGGCTATTTTTGTCTCGCCTCAGAACAGATATAAAGTGTGAGCAGCTCTGGAGGTCAAAACAAATCCGCTGTGTGCTGTCTGCGTCTAATTATAAAGGTGTTATATTGTTAGAGAATCAGGAAGTGTGAGGTTAGCATGCTAGTTGCTGTGGGGGCCCTATAACCTAAATTTGTGGGTTTTGGTCTGGATTTTAGGGGTAGGGCAAAGTCCTTCACGGGTCCATTTTTGGAGACCGCACCCGCCCGCATCCGCCCATACCCGCCTGCACCCGCCCACACCCACTCGTGCCGGCCTGCACCCACCTGTACCCACCTGTACCCACCTGCACCCACCTGCACCCACGCAGTACAGCACCACACCTGCCCGTTAACCTGTAATTGTATCAAAGTTAAATTTACACCTGTCCAGACCTGTTAACATTTCACCCCTTACCCACCCGTTGCCCGTGATAAATCGGGGTCATCCCATTAGTTCGACAGCCCAATAGGACTAAGGACCCAGGACTAAACCAGGAATAAACCAGGACTAAACCAGGACTAAACCAGGACTAAACCAGGACTAAACCAGGACTGAACCTACGCTGTGTCATTAGCAGATTATAAATATATACATGCCGCAACCGCAGAGCCGATCGCCCAGACTACACCAGGACTACACCAGGACTACACCAGGACTAAACCAGGACTTAACCAGGACTTAACCAGGACTTAACCAGGACTTAACCAGGTCTAAACCAGGACTAAACCAGTAGCGCAGCCGCCGAGCCGATCGCCAGGACTACACCAGGACTACACCAGGACTGGACCAGGTTTAACCCGGGACTAAACCTGGAGCGCAGCTGCCGAGCCGATCACCAGGACTACACCAGGACTACACCAGGACTACACCAGGACTAAACCAGGACTAAACCAGGACTACACCAGGACTACACCAGGACTACACCAGGACTACACCAGGACTAAACCAGGACTAAACCAGGACTACACCAGGACTGGACTAGGTCTAACCCAGGATTAAAACCAGTAGCGCAGCCGCCGAGCCGATCGCCAGGACTACACCAGGACTACACCAGGACTACACCAGGACTAAACCAGGACTAAACCAGGACTACACCAGGACTACACCAGGACTACACCAGGACTGGACCAGGTCTAACCCGGGACTAAACCAGTAGTGCAGCCGCCGAGCCGATCGCCAGGACTAAACCAGGACTACACCAGGACTAAACCAGGACTACACCAGGACTGGACCAGGACTAAACCAGGACTACACCAGGACTGGACCAGGTCTAACCCGGGACTAAACCTGGAGCGCAGCCGCCGAGCCGATCGCCACCGCTGATGGTTTCATGTAATAAATACACTAAAGCCTCTCTCAGCCTGGTCCATCTTTCCAGGAAAAGACCCGGAAATGGCACTTGTTTCCAGGGCAACGGACGCCCTGGATGCACGTCACCTATTTTTCTCCCGTTCATCTTTCATTTGATTCACCTGAGTGTCATCACTACCCACCCGCACACCCGCCCGTAAAATTCCAGAATGTTAAAACAATTTGCCTTTGGGTACTCAACCCGGTCCAGGACTCTGGGGAAGGGCAAATAGGAATAGGAAAAATCAAATATCGGATATCGGTAACAGCTCAAAGTATCCATATTGTACCTTTCCTGTATGAGATCTAATAGTTTTGTTGCTATGGAGGCTGGACTAAACCATTATTTCATTATGATTTGATTGTGATTAGACTATGATTTGTGTATGATTTGATTATGATTTGGCTGTGATTTGATAATGATTTGATTGTGATTTCTGTATGATTTGATTTGATAATGATTTGATGTGATTTGATGATTTGATTGCAATTTGTGTATGATTTGATAGTAATTTGATAATGATTTGATTGCGGTCGTCGGTTGGTTTTTACCTGTTGAGTGTGAGGAGCCTCATGCTGCTGCTGTTGTACCGAAGTCTGGTGTCCACCCAGGTCTGAGCGAAGATGATATCGATCTGGTACTCCTGAGGAGAGAGGGAGGAGGGAGAGAGGGGAGCGAAAGAAGAAAGAGAGGAGACAAGGAGAAAAAGAATGGAGAGGAAAAGACAAAGTGAGACAGAAAAGGAGAAAGAGAAGAAACAGAGAGGAGGGAGACAAGAGAGAGGGGGATATAAAAAGGAGAGAGATTGTGACAGGGTTAGAGAGAGAGTGAAAAAGAGACAAAAGAGAGATAAGGTACAAAAGGAGAGTGAGAAGAAAAGAGAGAGGGAGAAAAGGAGAAAAGGAGAGAGAGCAAAAGAGACGAGGCAAGGAGAGAAAGAGAGAGGTGGAAGGCAGAGAAAAACAGAAAGATAAAGGTGTAGGAGACAAGACAGGGGGAGAAAGAGAAAGAAAAGTGAAGAGAGGATGAGGAGAAGGAGGAGGGAGAAGGAGAAAGGGATCGGTCAATACTCGGAGTCTTTTTCACTCCACAGAAAGCAAAGTTCCAGCTGTGCAGAGTCTAGTCCAGTTCCTGTCATCTCCGTCTGTGTGGCCTTTTTACGTACTTGTACTTATATACTCGTGTACTTTCTTTGGTACACTTACATTTTAATAGAAAAAACATTTGCAAATTCCACTTTATAATTCGCTTGCCCTCAGCACATAATACAAACTGGAATGAAAAGCGTGATAATTATAAAAATCTATTAAAACTATAATAACAAGTCATTTAGTGTGGACTGTGGACTCATTTTTACAAATAAAATACACAATTCAAACTCAAAATGGTCAAAAAGCTCATATTAATGTTGAAATATGATAGAATGTGTCTTCAAAATGACCAAAGAATAATACTCTTTTGACACTCCAGCTCATTTATCTTTTCAACATTTCTAAACATAAAGCATAAAATGACCAAATTCTAACTATAATAATAACTCATTTACTTTAGACTTTAATGAATAAAATGTAAAATTCAAAACAAAAACAAAAACTCTCATATTAATTCTAAACTTCTCTCCAAAATGATTAATGCTACTTGACACTGCAACTGATTTATCTTTTTTTACAGTTCTAAATATATAAAACTACCAAATACTAACAAGTAGACAAAAGCTTAAAGGTACATTGTGTAACTTTTCTGGTGGAGTGTGCGTCAAATGCTTTTCTCCAAGTCATAGGCACTGTTGGGCAAATTACTTCAAAATTGTAATGAGTTATTTATGACTTGTCACTGTAATTTCAAAGTAATTTGTTACATTAGAATATTGCTGTGTTTAAAAAGTAAGTGTCGCTGATTGTCAAATAAGAATCAGCGAGTGAAGATGCTGAACTTTTGCACCATATATGGACTGAACCCAGGACTGAACCCAGACTAAATCAGAACTGAACCAGAAGTAAACCAGGACTAAATCAGAACTGGACCAGAACTAAACCAGGACTAAACCAGGACTGAACCAGGACTGAACCAGGAGTGAACCAAGGACTGAACCAGGACTGAACCAGGACTGAACCAGGACTGAACCAGGACTGAACCAGGACTGAACCAGAACTGAACCAGGACTGAACCAAGAAATGAACCAGGACTGAACCAAGAACTGAACCAGGACTGAACCAGGACTAAACCAGGACTGAACCAGGACTAAACCAGGACTGAACCAAGACTGAACCAAGGACTGAACCAGGACTGAACTAGGACTGAACCAGGACTGAACCAGGACTGAACCAGGACTAAACCAGGACTAAACCAGAGCTGAACCAAGGACTAAACCAGGACTGAACCAGGACTGAACCAGAACTGAACCAGGACTGAATGAGGACTGAACCAGGACTGAACCAGAACTGAACCAGGACTGAACCAGGACTGAACAAAGGACTGAACCAAGACTGAACCAAGGACTGAACCAGGACTAAACCAGGACAGAACCAGGACTAAACCAGGACTGAACCAAGACTGAACCAAGGACTGAACCAGGACTAAACCAGGACTGAACCAGGACTAAACCAGGACTAAACCAGGACTGAACCTGGACTGAACCAGGACTGAACCAGGACTTAACCAGGACTTAACCAGGACTTAACCAGGTCTAACCAGGTCTAAACCAGGACTAAACCAGGACTGAACCAGGACTAAACCAGAGCTGAACCAGGACTGAACCAGGACTAAACCAGGACCAAACCAGGACTAATCTTGGACTAGGACTTGGAATCTAGGACCGTCCCTGAGACAACCCCGAGTCTGAAAAAGTGCACAAAGTGTGGTCGGGCATCAGCTGTGATTATCCCCGCAGAGCGTGGAGTTTTGCGCCGGTTCTTTCCCCCACAGTCACCTGAAGGTCTACGCAGGCGCAACCCCGGGCCCTTCCCAACATTCGGAACCGTAACGATGGCGTTTCACCGCTGCTGATATCACCGTGATTTTAGCGAATTCGTATGAGGAAAAACGCAAAACCCACCACTTCAATCCAGGTCAAAAAAGCAATGTAACGCGTGTCCCTGTAATGCCTTATATTACTGCGTTACAGCAAAAAGCAATGCATTTCAGTAATTTGTTACTTTTATAACGCGTTACTCCCAACACTGGTTATAGCTCAGATCTGTGGAGAGGCGACCACGCTCACAGTCAGAATGCCTGTTTTTCTAGGTATTTTTGAGTGATTAAACCATCTGTAATTGGATAAATGTAAGTCAGAGCTGCTTAAAATCATATTGTGGAACATTCCAGGCAGAGCATTGATGTCTCCATAGAAACAAGCAGGTGACGGACTCCCAACCAAAAAGTTACACAGTGCGCCGTTAACAAATAAAATAGTCAAAAGGCTCATATTCATTTGGAAATATTATACACAGTGCACCTTTAACAAAATAAACAACTATTTTCTCACGACGTTCGAAAATAACCCAGTCCATAAACAAAAAGTCGCTCTGAGCCCGCGCACCCTTGTTTGGGAACCCCCCATTTTACATAACGCCCAAACTCCAGTATTGACTTCAAAAGGCGGGCCCCCCTCTCGTCTGCTCATTGTGTTTGAAATGGAAATGCAATGATACGCTTTACACAAACTGTTTATTTCAGCACATTTTCCCCGTACTCCCCCATCTCAACCCCAGAGTTTATATGAAAAACTCCCCTCTTTAAGTTCTTATATAGGTGATTTCACTTCATCTGCACACAGCGGGTTGCTTGTGATCATATATTAAAGGCTTTCCCTGTGTATGTGTGTATATTTGTGCCCGTTAAGTAGCACACAGAGCTAAAAGTGTGTGTTTTGTCGAAGGTATACAAACACTCCAAAGATGTAAATGCTCTGTTCCACATTGTGATGTCAAGTGGTAATACAGGAAGTGCTCCATTCCGTTTTGACACTCCATACACTTTCACTAGAATCACCGGGATACTTTCAGGCCCGGGAATTGCCAATCTCTACTGAACAAAAGATAAAAAAGTAGCTGTTAACTTGAAAACTACCACTACATGACATCACAAGGTGGAACAGAGCATTTTGAGATTTGGAAAAGTAGACAGACTAATAATAAACGATTACTCAAACGTGTGTGAATGTTCCACAGTATGAAGATTAATTACATTTATTCAATTACAGCTGTTTTTATTGCTTAAAAAAAAAAAAGAACATGGCAAACTGGGACACCTCTCCGCTGATCTGACCTGTAACTTGGCCTCGTGGCATCACTTTCTTGTCTCCGTGGAGTTAGATGCCACACTGTAAAACATTGGAGGCAAGCAATAAAATATCCATGGTAGAAAAAAGTGGATGTAACAATAATCGAAATATCGTGATATTGTATCGTCAAAAGTCTCACAATAATATCGTGGACAATGTCACAATATATCAAATTCCAAGTTTTATAGTAGTAACAGCTTATAAACATCGGAAACTACATATCCCATGATTCATTTCAGCACCAACAACACAAAACGATATATTTGTTAGTTGAATTTTTGGGATTATGATGGAAATAATTCACAGCAAAATCTTGTCAGGGTATTTTAAAAGCAAAATATCGCAATAAATATCATTCCGTGAGATGTGTATCGTGATAATATCGTACCGAGAAATTTGGATATCGTTACATCCCTCGTAGTAATGCAGAAAATGTAGTTTGTACCAAAAAGTCAGATTTTCCAACTGCAGTAAAAGTGATGTTTCTGTGCTAACCCCATGCCTGAATATATACAAAGATAATTAAACAAATAACTAAAAATACACACATTTTTCTTGTCAAATATGTATAATTAGTCATGAACATCAGTCCAACGTGTATTTTATGGGCGAGTAAATCCAATACGGACCATAGCTGACCCTGATAACATATACTGCATTAAAAGTCTATGTTGTTTTGTGCGCGCCTTCTCTCTTTAATGGCAGAGTATGAGCAGTCTGAGCTTTATAATGTCACCTGTCCATCACTCAGACCCACATACAGCACATAAAAACACTTTACAGCTTTAAAGACCATTGAGAAGTGTATCATTTCACTTCCCGGTTTGACATGTGCCGCAGATGTGTGACATATGTCGAGGTAATTCAATTTCAGCTGTTACCTGGCAACCGTGACAAGTTAACAAGGGTCAAAACTTATCTTAATTGCACAGTAGTTAGAATTAGACTAAAAAAAAGTAAATGACAACAGCTTTATTTTGTTAAAGGGTCAGTATTATGGTATGTTATGTTGTTTCATCATCACAAACAGACCTGGAGTTAGGGGCTGCTCCACTATGGAAAAAAACATTATCATGATTATTTTGGTCAATATTGAAATCACGATTATGCAAGCGATTCTTTTTTAGTTACACGACAAATTTATTCAGCATTTCTCTTTCTCTCTCAAAAAACAACACTTTGTTATTGATAATTTACGCAAAGCCTTCGAATTGAAAATAAATATAGGCTACAAATCTGTACCTTAGAGCAGTTTTGCGAAGTATAAAACATAAAATGAATAAAATATACTTTGAACATGAAATGATGCATAGAAAACCATAAATGTATCCAAAATAAACTATATATCCAGCTGTTCTACA